TCTGTTAAAGGGTTGTTTGCAATTTACCAAATTATGAATCTAATCCCTCTGTGTGTGCTTTGACTTTTTTTGAGGTAACATGGGAGTAATATAGAAATTACCCAACATCCTCTGCTTCACCAGCTTCATCAGAAGAGCCCATGGTGATTGGCAGAGCCCAACTTTCACCTGAGGAACGCCAGCGCCGCTTTCGGGAGGGTCACTGTCTGCATTGTGGCCAGTCGGGTCACCAAGTCAGCGACTGTCCAGTAAATAAGAAGGGACCACTAAGGAAGGGACCACTAAGGAAGTTTTCGTTGGTGCACTTCCTTTTCTAATGACTTTTCTAATGACTTCCAACGTGCAAGCCCCACTGTCCAGCTCTCCACTCCTGAAAAGACTGTTGAGACTCTGGTGCAGATGCTAACTTGATGGATGCTCAATTTGCAAGACAATTGGATTTAGAGTTTTTGCCTCTTGAAAGGCCCCAGCAGGCTGTTGCCTTGAATGGGCATCCGTTGTGCTCTGTGTCTAGTCAAACCCCACCTGTTAAAGTGACTTTCGCTGATAACCATTCTGAAATGATTAAGTTTTTCCTGTCTGATTTTCCTCAACACCCGGCAATTTTCGGTCATCCCTGGCTTGTTTGGCATAATCCTAACATAGATTGGTCCTCGGGTTCTACTTTATCTTGGAACTGCGATTGTTTACAGTCTACTCCAGGTGATGCCCCTCCTTCCCAGGTTCTAGGGGTTCTACCAGACTGTGATTCTGACTTCCCAGATCTGTCTAGGGTTCCCTCTTGTTACCATAACCTTAAGGAGGTTTTTAGCAAGTCACAGGCTACCTCTTTGCCCCTGCATCGTCCTTATGACTGTGCCATTGACCTGCTGCCGGAAACCACGCCCCCTAAGGGTCGCCTGTACCCATTGTCCTTACCTGAACGGCAGGCCATGAGGGATTATATTGACGCGGCTCTCCGGGCAGGCATAATTCGTGAATCTTCGTCCCCTGCTGGGGCAGGTCTTTTCTTTGTGGCTAAGAAGGACAACACTTTACGTCCGTGCATCAATTACCGGGGTCTCAATGACGTCACCATCAAGAACAGGTACCCCCTCCCTCTGGTCTCTTTGGCTTTTGAACTCTTACAAGATGCTACAGTTTTTACTAAGTTGGATTTAAGGAATGCTTATCATCTTGTGAGAGTGAGGGAGGGGGATGAATGGAAGACTGCCTTTAATATGCCCAGTGGGCATTATGAGTACCTGGTGATTTCTTTTGGTCTCTCTAATGCTCCCGCGGTTTTTCAGGCTTTGATTAATGAAGTACAGTATTGGGCCATTTCCTGTATCGAAGGTCATTAATCCTGTGGCTATTAGACTCAAGCTCCCCTGGACCATAAAGTGCCATCCGACATTTCACGTTAGTCGGGTTAAACTGGCCAGGGAGAGTTCCTGCCTCCAGACCCCCTCCTCCCCCCGGATGGTTGAGGGGGGCCTGGTCTATTCAGTGAGGCAGCTGTTGGCTGTGCAGCATCGGGGTCGTCAATTCCTCGTTGATTGGGAAGGTTACGGGCCTGAGGAGAGGTCTTGGGTTCCTGCGGGCAATGTTTTGGATCCCTCCCTGATTCGGGACTTTTATGACCAGCACCCGGACATTCCCGGCCCGTCGGGCGCCGTGCGTGGTGCGGGGGGTGATGTCATGAGTGGTTCTGTAGGTTGAGTGCTTTGCAGTCATGTTTCTGGTTTTATTATATTTCTGGTACTTCCTGTTTTATTTTGTGTATTCACTTCCTGTCTCATTACAGGTAGCTTCACGACCTGAGGCTCCTCACTAATCAGCCTTATGTTTTGCACCAGTGTCCTGGCTTCTCCATTTATGCTTCTTTGCAAACAGATTCCTTTGCCAGTTTGTCTTCTTCAGTTGAGTAAAGTGAACCTGCTCTCAGTAACACTTTGTGTGAGTGTATTTAGTTAGTTTTGGACTTGTTCAGTTGTGCTGTACTGCCAGGAATCCCTTCAGCTTATTAAACTGTGTGAGCTCTGCATTTGAGTCCTCTTTTGTGCTTTGATAGGACGTCTGAGCGGACCTTCGGGACGTCCCACTGTCACGCTAAGAAGGGCACGGCTGCATATCCACACCTGCAGCCGTAGAGTATTCATCACATCTTCCTTGTTCTTCACGGCCGTGATGCGCTTGGATGAAAACATCTACCTCTTTAGCTCCTGATCAGCTGACAGCTTCAACACACCGCGCTGCTTAACGCACGCATTTTCTTATCAGTAACAGAAACGACGGTTTCATAAAAGAAGACGGTAATTAATTAGTTTGCTTGTTACTGAAAAACATATTTTGTTTAGTAACACGGTTATTTTAAACAGCGTTATTGCCATCGCTGCTCTGTTGTGTCTACAGCAGGCAGTGACTGATACGGTGAGAACACTGAGGGTCTCCGCCCACCCGGCCAATCATCATCGTGTTTGTGTGTTACCGACACCTCTCTCTCCCTGGCTGCAGCTGAAGTGTGGCGGTCAGAAAGCCTCACGCTGTTGCTCAACGTTCGACAAGCACATAGTAATGCACAACCTTCCATCCCCAGTAACGGTAACGGCGTTGCAACAGTGGGAAAAGTAATTAATTTGATTATTCTGTTACCAAAAAAAGAACGGCATTAGTAACACCGTTATTTTAAACGGCAAATTCCCATCACTGCAGACAACAGATGATGAAAGGAATGATGGAATGCGAACTAGATGTTTTAGCAAAACCTTGTCAGTATCTGAGAGAGCTTGTGAAGTCTGGGTGGTAAAATCCGTTTGGCTGTACGGTTTGATAAGCTAAAATTTTTTTTATAAAACCATCCAACGCAATTTGTGCCGGGTCTACGCACCCTTATGTGAAGATCCCCAAGCAATCCAGAGGGTCAAGAGGTCAAGATAGATACTGCAGATGGCGTGGTCCTCTGGTACCGGAGCTCGTAGGCAGCTCAGAGTAAGACCCTTCTAGCCTGGGTTATCTTCAGGGGATGTCAGGAAGCTGGAATGTCTATTTTGTATCTAAGGCTGTTCAATGACTCTTAAAAGAGCCGTTGTCTGATATCACTCGCAAGCGTTGCAGAGAGGCTTTGACCTTGGGGTCAAAAGAGAGGATGGTTCCAGATGCTTGCTCACCGGTCGGTCGAGCCAGGAGGCAGCGGGAGAACTAACCAGATCAGGAAGTGAATCCTGTATTTATCAACTTTTGTGTATACATTTGGCCAATCAGAATTTGACACGTTTACCTTCGCTCTGATACTCAGAGGTTAACTCTCAGCGTGAAGTGGAAATGTCTTTTACACATTTATGTGAAGTCAATGTTAAAACCTTTAAATTTATTTTTTGATGTATGAGTATACTGATAGATTAACTTGTTAAATCAACAAATACTGATCAGGTGTAGTTTAAGATCTGAAATTAATCATTACAGGAAAAATATTCGTTTAAACACATCATTTTAATGCATTATTGATTATTCAAACAAGGTGCTTATTGGGGCCAGTGGAGGTGCTGGCTCCCTGGAGGGTCTAGGCCCCAAGCCATTCCTACCCATCCTCAGACATTTACCTCCTCCTGCAGGTTCTTGCAGGTTTCAGTAAGTTAAATTTCAGACCTTTTAAAGACCTTTATGTACAAAATTTAAGACCACCACCACACATAAACAGCAACAGTCAAATAGGCCCAAAGATTCCAGACTTTTTATTTTTATCAACTTTGAAATCAAAAATAAAATTTTTCTTAACTGATTAAAGATTACAAGATTCAGTCACCTTCAACTAACCTTCTCAACACATTATGTACTGTCAATGTCAGTGTCGGAAAAGTTCGTTAAAAAAATTAACTAGTTTGAAAGTCAGTTCATACATTTTAAAACAAACTAGTTAATTTGTTAGTTCATAATTAAAATTTTTAAACAAAATTCACTGTTTCAAAAACTAACTAGTTTGTATAAATATATTTAAAAAATGTATATATATATATATTCCAAGTGGCAGGGGTGAGGAGTGAGCACCACCTCACCCCTGCCATGTGGACCTCAAGGGATAAACCATCAATCCTGCTCAATGGTCAACTTTCCTCGCGGGGTCACCCATTAGAACAGTGGGAGGGTTAAAGCGAGGCGGAGCCTTTGTCAGTGCATGATTTTCTCGTAGACCAAATATCACTGATGCACACAACAATGCACAGTGCTCTGCTAATGGCTACTAAAACTGAATAAAAAAGGAAAGAACTCGGACTAAAGAAGTAATTGGAAAACATGTCAGCCTTTTCTCTAAACTGAAAAAAACCAACTCCCTGATAAATACACACCGCGCTGCTTAACATCAGTCCATGTCGCGAACATTTTTCAGAGATTGTCTCTCTTCCTGGTAGCACTGGAAACTTTACAAAAGATGAGGTAAGCTATATTTTTAACAATTATATAACATTTGTGCAGCGCTGAAAGCACCAGACAGAATAGGTTGTTGCCCTTAACAGTAGTTTATGAAAGTAGTCAGACAAATGAGAGACACCTGCTGCAGCTGGGAAAATGCTCTGTGTTCTCACTACTCTAAAAACAGTTACAAATGGGTCTTAAAGTAACAGAAACACTCTAAAATCTCTGTACGAGAGGAACCGCTGGTTGAAGTGGTAGCAGCTGGTGCTACCACTTCAACTTTAGAACAAACTACCAGACTCCCAAGAAGCATAATAACGTTTGAAATCACGGACAACAAAAGACGTTTGGAACTCGAAAAGTGCAACTGCAGTTTAGTGCTCTCTCGTTTACCGTGTCAGTGCATGTTTGTGTAATAGGCACATACCTAGACCTAGGGATGATGGGCGACGAGAGGGGTGAGATTTCTGTAACCGTCTTTGTTTAAAAGCTAGCTTGTTTTGCACATTTGCCATTGTATATTTAAGCCTTCCTGCCAGAAAGTAAAATAAAAAAAACAATAATACATACATAAATACGTATAGCATCCAGTAGCAAGTTTAACTTACTGACGATAGTGACTCTGTCCTGGTTTTCATCAGCTGAGGTAAGTACAGACTCCAGCCACTCCATCTGGTCCCTACTGAACCCACCATTGAACATGGTAAACCTGCTGAAGTCCTCCAGCTCTGAAACAGGAAAAAAAAAATCTAAACATATCTGTTCTGTTCTATTATTGCACCTTGAAAAAATAAAACAATGAAATTAGAAAGTCCCACTGTTTAAGGCATCAGGTGGATATTTAGCACACAAAATAGGAAAAAAGACAGAAATCATAGCAAGACAGACATTAGAAAAATGTTACGATAAAAACAGTGTACATTAGACTGTCGGCACCAAAATGAAAATTCTTGGCCGAAACCAAAAATGAGAAAACCACGGCTGAAAACCAAAACAACAAAAGAAATTATTATGTCAATAAGTAGAACCATAGAATTTATGGCTGTGATGGCAATGCCAGTCAAATCAAGGCAGTGCAGTTAATCAATTACAAAACCATGAAAATATTTATTCAGCACTGACATAACAACAATGCTCAATATAAATGAAAACTAAAATGTTTCAATTAAAACAAAATTAAATGTTTCACTTGACCACACTCATGTACATTAAATATAAATTAATTATAAATAAATACGAAATATCAATTATAAATGTACAGGCTTACATCTGAATGGCCTGCTGAGAAAGACTGTAAATTAACCCTTTAAGTGCCAGACGTCATTTTTTGACAAGCATCATTGTTGGGTTTAAGGAGACACAGCTGCAAATATAACCCTATCACCTTACACCAGAAGATCAATCAATCAATCAAAGCTTTATTTATAAAGCGCCTTCCGCAACCCTGTCAGGAAGCCCAAAGCACCAAAGATAGTGGAGATGTGCAACGTCGGTCTGAGCAACACGTTGGGTCTGTTTCTATTCTAATTCAAAAATCAGAGTTTATAGAGTTTGAAAACTGCCCCTATTGGGAGGGTACCAAATGGGGAGAGGAGACGAGACAAGTGGAGCACACCGAGGGTGAATATTAGAGAGGAAAAACTTACAATGCTGACATGTCTGTTCATTGTTGACAACAGGAGTTTGTAAATAGCGGAGGAATATGCCTGTTTTTCCTCTAGTACGCCCTCTTCTCCGCCTTCTCTAAAATCTCCGCCAAATACCGAAGACCCGGAACAATGTCCGTCCACTACTAGATTCCTTTCCTGTTTTGCCCACCTTCGTCTCCCGGCAGCGTACAACAACTTCTGAGGTCAAATGCGCTGCTTCAAATGATCTGCGCATGCAGGAGGACTGACCCATTTTAAACCTTTGTCGGCTGTGCTGAAGAGAAAGGTACAGAACCAAATTATTTAACTAGCTGCGTGTTCTCCTGTCCTCTGTCCTCCGAGCAGCACACTAGGTTTGGGCGGTATCCAAATTTGAATACCGTCTAACTTCCACTTAACTTTACCCCGGTATACGGTATTACCGTGAATACTTAAAAAGTATGATGTAAGCCTCAAGTGGACCTTTACCTTTCTGAATCCGAATACCAAACAATTACTAAAAAAATAACAATGCAACTCACACACTATTAACAACATTTATTAACACAAAAACGCGGCTTATAAACAAGTGCAAAGAGTCAACAGTCCAACTGCAATAAATCAACGTAAAAACCCAGGACCGCTGTTGTGCGCAAATCAAGTGAACAACTTATCAACGAGCAGCATGAAACACTGCAAATAAGCTGTAACAGTCAACAAGAGTTGAATAACCATAAACATTGAAATTATAAAAATTATTGCAACCAAAACAACTGCATTAAAATTATAAAAAGAAAACTCCGTCACACGGCCACACGCGTGCGCGCGCGCACACACACACACACACACACACACACACACAGGACACATTACGGCATGTTGCAGCAAATCTAGTTAAGATTTCTCGCCAGAAAAACCAGAATGTTTACTTTTTCTGGGTTCAAGTTTGCACGTTGTGGACCAACAACTTTACCTGCGGTGCTGAAAACCCGCTCCAATGGTGAGCTGGTGGCACAATTACATAGATACCTCCGGGCCAGTCGTGACAGCTGGGGAAAACTACTGCCAGCATATTTCCACCAGAGAAGAGGGTCTTCGTCCCCTTGAATAACAGGTTCCAAACAGTACGCTGTTATTTCAGCTCCAGCTCGCTGCTCTGCGCGGCTGACGGGACCCTCCGGCGCAGCGCGTCAGCGCAGCGGCTCGTTTTTGCAGGAGAGCTCACAGAGACATCTTTTTGCGTGGGGGTTCAGGTTGTGATCGTTCCTCTATGGTTCGGATGCTTCTGGTGCTGTTTGCCCCTCTAAGCTCACGATCTCAGCCTGTAATTCAGCTTTGATTTCAGCCAGTGCGCTGTCATCAAGCTCATGTCTGCCACGGTAACGAGGGTCGAGGAAAGGGCATTTTCGCATTAATTTGCGCACTGAATCAGATTCATACTTGGCCTCCAGCTTTTTTAGAATTGTGGTTCTCTTTCTTAACATTCGTTTCGATGTCTCACTATGGGATACGCCACTCCGCGGATTCCTCAGAAGCACTTATCTCAATACGCCAATCCTGATTGGCCAGTGACCGTGACGTACGCGTCACCTGCTACTATAAGTAGCAAGCGTCCCAACGCACGCACCATTCAATCACCTCTTCTCGCTTCGGTGGTCGCTTATCTCTAAGGTAAGTTAACTCAACTGTTCACAGACGGAGCCAGCTAATATTCTCTCCGTCGCCGAACGTTAACTTACCGTCCTGTCCTGACCTTCACCATAGGTTCGGGGCATAACGAGCAGCTTCACACTCCAGTGCATCTGTTCGTTCTATGCTAACACACCAGTTAGCCAGCATGGAAGCCGCTCCTCCCACCAGAGGAGTCGACGGCGCAGGAGCTCGCCTCTGTACCTGTGGGAACAAAATCTCAAGCAAAGACCCGCACAAGGTCTGCTCGAGCTGCCTCGGGCTGGAACACGCCCAGCTGGCATTGGAAGTCCCCGGGTCATGTGAGAGCTGCGCTTGCTTCACCCTGAAGAGCCTTCGCCGGCGGCTAGCGCGCCAAGCTAGCCTGTCGGAGAAGGACCCTTGCCTGCCGGCCCCTGGGCCACCGCCTGGGGACGCCAGCGAACATGTCCTCCCGGAGCCGGAACCGTGTGCCGAACTCAGCTGGGGCTCACAGCTCGAACCGGCCGGTCCGAGCCACCCCGTCGAGGACGTGTTGGAGTTGGACTACGGAGACGACGAGGACACCTCGGAACTCCTCATTTCAGAGGAGGACGAGGATGACGACGTTTTTCTCCCCATCGCTCAGGCCTCCATGCCTAGCTTTCCGTCCTCTCCCAGGGATGGAGCGGCTTCTCCGGCCGTCCACCTGGACATGCAGTCAGTCTGCCGACGCGCTGCGACCAGGCTCAACATCCCTTGGCCCACCGTGGTCACTGAGGCTGTCAGATCCCGCTACGAGGGAAAGAAGCTGCCTCAGGCCACAAGGGCGGCAAAGCCTCTCCTTCCCGCCTTCCCGGAGCTTCTCCAAGAAGTGAGGTCCTCCTGGGACAAACACCCTTTCAGCTCCAGGTCTCCTGTCCAAGGAGCCTCCTCGCTGGACTTCGAGGGGATGGAGAAGGCTGGCATGCTTCGCATGCCGCTGATGGAACCGCTGGTTGCAGCACACCTGCACCCACGGCTCTCGGCAACTTCCTCCAGGCCTCCCGCTCTCCCTGCGAAGGCGGACCGCTTCCAGTCGGCGCTGAACGAGAGGGCGTACAAGGCTGCCGCCATCTCGGTCCGAGCTTTGAACGTCTCCTCCATGCTCTCGGCGTACCAAGCCGAGCTCTGTGAGGACACGAATACGAAGCCGGACCCGGAGGTGTGGGAGAAAATCACCGTACTGACCGACATCTGCCTGCGTGTGCAGCGCTGCGCGGTCCAGGCTACGGCTAAAGCTATGGGCATGATGGTGCTTCAAGAACGTGCACGATGGCTGAACCTCACCAACCTCTGATAGAGAGAAGGAGGATATTTTGGACATGCCAATCGTGCCTGAAGGTATTTTTGGCTCTGCCCTGGCATCAATGCAGCAACGGTGTGAGGCCAAAAAGAAAGAGGATGAAGCCCTTCATCTCTGCCTTCCCCGTAAGCCCTCACCGGCGCTGCCGGCTCGGCCGAACCTGCCTCGGGCATCTGCCCGAGCCCAGCCTCAGTTCCGGATCCCAAAGCACCCGAAGCCTCAAGCTGTCCAACCAGCTCCTTCGGGCTCAGCGCTTCGACCAGTTTGGCCTCAGAGATCCGGCAACCAAGCCGTTCCGCCGTCGGGACAACCCACCCGACCCGGCGGTCAGCAGGTGAGGAGGAAGAAGAGGGCAGCCTGACGGAGTTCCTTCCCTCCCGACGCTGCAGCTGGCGGTTCCCCGTTCGCCAGCTCCTCCTGTTCGATGTTGCCATGGTGCCTTCCCCCCCCCCCCCCCCGGAACCCCTCAGGCAGAGTCCCCGAACGGTCCAGGGTGGGGCCAGGACGTGCAGCCGGCTGTGCCGGCTCAAAACACACGTCACAAGCACTCACATTGTTTTTCACAAACATGTCACGCTCAAGGAGCATTAAAACGTTCGCTGACGCATCCAGACTAAATGTCAAGGGCGCAGCAAAAATCAATAAAAATGTTACCCATGAGCGGAACCAGGCGGGGGCGGCTCCTGGCGGACTTACCCGCCAGCCACGGGTCGTCCCCGTACACCTGGGCCGTCAAAGCACAAAGCCCCCGCGCATGCGCAGTGGTTGCCACGAGCACCGCTGCCCCACAACCTCTGGAGGGAGCTGCTGCTCCGTGTGTCATGGCTGTGTCACCGCTCTCCACTCACATGGAGGAATGGACAGCGGTTTCTGCTTCACGTTGGGTGCTGAGAACTATTTCGAGAGGTTACAGGCTCCAATTCGCCTCAGTTCCTCCTCGATTCTCCGGCGTAGTGTTCTCCCACGCCCAGGGGACGTCAGCTCACATCCTTCAGGGAGAAATCTCCTCCCTGCTGGAGAAGGGAGCGATATGCATTGTGCCTCCCGATCGGTCTCAGAGCGGTTTCTACTCCAGGTACTTCCTGGTCCCGAAACGGGGAGGGACCGG